CGCGCGCCGCACAGCCGAAACTGAGAACGAGAAAAATCAAAACTGGCCGCGACGCGCGCGAGAGCGCGGCGCGCGAAGAAGAGGCTCTCCCCGGGCACGAGAAAGGCTGGAGGCCATCCCTCCATAACTGGCACCTCGGCTCAGCTGGAGCAGCACCAAAAGGTCCGTCGAGATTTTTCTTGCCCACTGGCTCTCCAGCGCCCCGGAATTACTCTAAAGCTTCAGCAACTAGCTACGGGAAGCTCTACGAGTTACTTTTTCCGCGCGCCTGCGCGCGTGCAGGCACGCGTGGACGCATGCCAGAAGCGCTCCTCGACCTGCTGCGAGGACCGGCGAGTTGCTCCAGAGACTCTACGAGCCCCCTAGGGCAAGAAAGGTTGACGGTTTCCGCCGGCGCCCAGTTGACCAAAAGATCCGTCGAGATCTTTCTTGTCAACTAGCTCTCCAGCGCCCCGGAATTGCTCTTGAGCTTCCAGCAACGCTTCGGGATGCTCTACAAGTTACTGGCGCCGGCGGTGAACCGTCAACCTGGTCACCGCCGGGAACCTCTTAGAGCTCCCTCCACGCGTAAGAGTGCTTAGACTCGACAGAGTGAGCTTCTGGAAGCATTTCGCGAAAAAGGCAAGATTCATTTTTTTATGTCGATATGAAGTTCGTTCCGCCAAGTGTTTTCATACTAGATCTGCGCCAACAGAGCTTATATTAAGAGGAAGAAGCTCTCATAATCGTTCACAGGTGCAAAAAATCTGCTTCCTCAAAATAAATTCTCCAATATCTTCGAAATCTTCGCAAAACGACCTAAAGTTGTCACACTGTCTCTTCTGGTCGGGTCAGCCAATAGCTCCACCCCGCGCCGGAATTCCTCGCTCTCTGGGTCTTGGACGCTCCCAAGTGGACGCTATCAAGTTTCTCGTCGAGCTCTTCGGCATCGATGAGCTAGAGGAAGTCCGGCGCGGGCTGGAGCTAGTTCACCGACCCGACCAAAAGAGACAATGTGATGACTTTGGGTCGGTTTTGAGAAGATTTGAAAGAGATTTGACAATTCATTTTGACACTATGAGGGCCTCTGCGTCTTAACATGAGCTCCGTAGGCGCACATTCACTATCGAAACACTTGGGGAACCAACTTGATGTCGACATAAAATCTTAGCATGGTAGCTTCCAAAACCCGAAGAGCGAAGAGACCATCGGGGGACGGAAGATCTTTCCTGGAAAGCTCTGGGAAGCTCCTCTACAGCGCTGCTGAAGCGCTACCAGAAACCAACTTCATGTCGACATGAAACTTGGTAGCGTCCAAAACCCGGAGAGCGGAGAGCAAAGAGAATACACGCCGGAAAGCTGTCCTGGCGGGCCCTCGGACGCTCTCGTGAAGCGCTTCTGGAGCTCTGGGGGCCCCCCTGCTGCGCTTCTGAAGCGCTGCCGGGAACGCTTCCACGCGTGCCTGCACACGTGCAGGCACGCGTGGACGCGTGCCCGAAGCGCTCCCGGACCCGCTGCGACGTTTTACAAGTCGCTGCGGGGATTCTGGAGCGGCGAAGATGGGCTGCTGGCAGACACCACTACCGTCCGGCTTCTAATCTAAAACCCTCTAGCGCTCAGAGAGCTCTCCGGGACAAGAATGCATGTTGAATTTTTCGAGCAATGCCTCCGGAAGCTCTCTCTTCCGACTCTAAGCTCTCTCACGCGTGAAAAGAGCTCTACCAGGTTCCCGGCGGTGACCAGGTTGACGGTTCACCGCCGGCGCCAGTTCCTGGAGGGCTCTGGGGGGCTTCCCTGAAGCGCTTCGAAAGCGCTT